CAATCACAGCCACTCAGTCTTGGTAGGACTGAGTTGGAGTTGATTTCTCCCCATTCAGAACTCTGCAGTCTCCAGGCACAGGGACAAGATTTCAACAGCGTCACTTGGCCAGTCTGGAGCTGAGAGATATAATAACCTCACCAAGCGGTTTCATGTAAATGTTGAATAGGAGGAGAAAGTGTTGAGTCCTGTGGCACCTCGAAAAGGAGGGACCTAAGGAGTGACCCAACCAACAAACTGGAATCAGCCCTGAAGAAAGGAAGAGAACCATAGTAAAATGGTAAAATAGTATTCCCAGTTGCCAACCCCTGGAGCCAGTTCAGAAGGATACCATGGTCAGTGTACTGAAAGCCACTGAGAGATCACAGAGCACAAGGATGGTTGCACCATGGAATGGGCAAGTGGCCTTGGAGTACATTGCACCTAAATGCATTCACAAGTGCAACTGAGGTGGTCTCCATGTGAAACCTGATTGAAATTGTCTAGACCAGTGTTTCTCAACCTTGGCCACTTTAAGAGGTGTGGACTTCAACTCCCAGCATGGCTGGAGAATTCTGGGAGTTGGTCCACACCTCTTAAAGCGGCCAAAATTGAGAAACACTGGTCTAGATAATCACTTCCTCTAGGGTTCTCAGCAGCTACAGTCTCAACAATCTTCTCTAAAAAGAAAGGTTGGAGATGAGGCAGTAGTTATCTAAAACTTTTGGGTACAAGGACATCCTCTTGAGAAGGGGATGTACCACCATCTCTTTAAGGACCAAAGGTATTACCCTCTCTGCCAAAGAGGCCAACCCCATGGCATGGACCAGAGTCAGCAGGCAGGTGGTCAGACTTACAGCACCAGGAATCCTGTCTACTTCCTCAGAAGTTACCAGGTCAAATTCATCCCAAATCCCATCACAAGACCAAGCCCTAGGCACCTTAGCCTGACCTGCCCACTCAAAGTCCAACTCATAGTGGATCTAATCAACTTTATCTGTCAAATAGCCATAATACTCTTCACAGCAGCCCTACAGATGGCACTGTGGCCCACCCCTATCCAGTAGGAACTGGGTCACCCTAAATAGCATGCCGAGTGGCTATCTATGGCTGTATTAAGGGTGGAGAAATATTGACATTTTGCCACTCTTATTTTCATGAGGTAAATATGGACTCTCTTTCATATTTGATTGGAATCAGTGATTATTCCAATGGTGCTCCAAGCATTTCTTCTGGTGCTTCATCTCCTAGAGCTCCTCAGTAAACCAGTGTGTGTCTGGGATTGGTGTACAGGGAGGAGCCATTTAGGGGCAATGCAGTCCAAGGTTATCTGCGCATTCCAGGTAGCAACTAGGGCCCCACCTGAATTGCCCACCAGATCTTTAGGGAAAGCCCTAAGGTCCCTTTGGAACCCGTAGGGGCCATCAGTCACCTGGCATGGGGTTGGGCCAATCAAACAGGCTCTATCTCCTTGTAGGGAAGGGTGACACCAGTGAGCTGGAATGCAATCAGAGAGGGATCTGTCTAGGGCAACAGAGTGATGTTAATGACTTCCACTATCAGATCATGTCACAACTGCCATGAGACAAAACCAGATCTAATGTGTGATGCCAGGTATGTATCTGGCCATTGATGACTTGGGAAAGGACCCTGATTGCCATGGAGGCCACAAACTCCTGTATGTGTGCCTTGGACCCAATGCCACTAGGCAGCATCTAATATTTTTTACCTAGTTTGTCTATCCTGTGCCCTTGTTTTTTTTTTTTTCCTGACTATACCATTGTCCTCAGAATGCTAGATAAAAAGTCAGACCCTGTAGCCTTTCCTAACAAAAAATGGAAAATATAGTTGGGGCCCATTTAAAAGCAACCTAAGATAAAAGCCTGATAAAATTATCTGGGAAGGAATTGATTAAATATGGGGCCAACAACGAAAAACTTTGCATTTTGCTGACTTGATTTTTCTTGGACCTTCTAAGGCCAATATTATGACTTGGTTATATTCTTGTTCATATATACACAGTCTTTCAAATAATTTAATCCCAAACCATTAAAAACGGACAATTTAAACAGACACAGGAAACAAATGGATAACCAGGGAAAAGTAATATAAATCTGATGTGATATGGTCATTCTAGTTCATGCTAGCATCCTGTTTTTATTGCAATTAGAGTTTTAAAACTATCAATAAGACCCATATATAGAGGATTACAGTAATGCACTAATGAATATTGGATGTAATCAGCCTTGAGTCACTAAGGACAGACCCATTTTCTCCAGATGGAGTGCAGTTGGCATAACTTCAACTCCGTTAATAGTGTGATTCCAGAAAAACACACATACCTGATCATTTAGTGAGAGTACAACTCCATACAAAATAGGTTGTGACCCTCCATCTATACTGACAGTCATGCCAAACAACAGTAACTTTGTTTATCTAGATTAAATTTCAGCTAAACATACTCTCATCCTAATAGATGTCCACTCATCTATTAATTCAAACTTTACCAGGCAGGTTGATCAATTCATTTGATTTATATGGCCACCCATCTCATTCTAGTAATTCTGTGCATATAACATATAAAAACACCACACAAAATGTTAACAAAAAGCAGCCAATATATAAAACCTATAATGACAAGGTGATCTGATAATAAAGCCATAACATGTTCTTCCATGTTCTTCTTTCTTAAGTGGTCTAATTTGAGACAAGTGTATGTTCTGTCATAGGTACTGTGTGTATGTGCCTTTAAGTCAGTGTTGACTCCTGAGGGTTGCCTGGAAAAGTCCCTCTATTTTTTTTTTGGCAAGATTTCAGAAATGGTTTGGCATTGTCTGCTTCCTAGGGCTAAGAGAGAGTGATTAGCCCAAAGTCACCCAGCTGGCTTCATGCCTAAGGCGGGACTAGAACTCAGTTTCCAGGTTTCTAGCCTTCGTGCCTTAACCACGACCCCAAACTGGCTGTCATCATGGGTATTAGGCTAATTCTAATTTGAAAGAGGTCTGTTTTTATCAATGGGCCATAAGAGTTCAAGTTTCCCCAAAGAAAGTTTATCTTAAGTGTGGATACTGAAATCCCATAAGACAATCTCAACACTGACTCTTGCTAGCCATTTTTAAAACTTCTTTGTAATCTCTGACATGGAATTTTACTTTTCTTTACCACTGCACACCAAACTACTACTACTACTACTACTACTACTACTACTACTACTTATTGTTGGTCACACAGTCAGCCAGTTGTTTAGACTGCATTTGGCATTTTTTTCCACCTACTGAGTCCTTCCCAAGGACCTAGGATAGGCAGATGTTGTTTGATGGTGTTAAAGGTATTGTT